TAGCCACCTGCCGTCGCCCATCTATAATCAAACCTACATTTTTTACATATAGTGTGTACATACGGTATGTATCTAAAAACCTTCCAGTAGTAATATTAAATATTATCATAAATCAATGGTATCATACTGAATAATGGCAAACATTGGTATTTTTTATTAAAACTTTGTTATACTTACAAAACTAAGAAAGAAGCGATGGGTTTTCACTTTTTTAATAGTAAAATTTTAAGATACACCATGAATTAAGATAAAACTTTTTACTTTCACACATAGCGCTCATTACTAGAATATTAACATTAACACAAATATGGGAGGAAGATTTTAGAAATTGAGGCAAGTAGGCTGAGTCAGTTTAGACGCATAAGACAACTTTGAAGCTCCTTTACTTTCAGCAACTACGCTGCGGTCTAGCCCACAATCAATACATTTGTTAACTAACATTTAGGGTCTTTAAGGTTGCTTTTGAGATCTTATCTCCAAGCTCTAAATTCAATATTGTTATTTAAAGAAACGTATTTATATATTTCTTTATATCCTTATATGCTTTGTTGAAGTTCTAACTTCTAAGTAATGACACTGGATTATTTTTAGATGTTTTATCAAATGATCCGGTATAATGTATTTAATATGTCATAAAAATACTGCCGGTGTCTTCCTCTTCTGGGTACAATATTATTTATGCGTATAGCAACCAGATTTCATAGCCCATCGCGGATAGGATCATCTCGCATGTTATGTTAATAAACTGATTACACCAATGTCTACAGGCCATAACATTTGCATTTTACAAATCAATACTGTCATCTTTGACGTATATTGTTTACCAGAAATATTATATGCCATTGTGGAACATAGTAATGAATTAATTAATTAACCCGTTTCGGTTATGCGAACAATGAATCGCTTAACCGAAGTGTGTAAAAATTCTATAATTTCTCTGAAACGACGAAGGCGATTAGCCACGTATTAATGGTATATTGTATATACCATTAGTTTTCGCGTCCTTGACAGGAATATCAAACTTTTTTATAAGAAGATTCACGTTGTATATTATAATATTATATACGGCCACTATACTCGTACTATGGGTCCTCACTCCTCTGTTTTATAATAGAAACTTCCTGTACAATTAAAAACAATATGACACGCACTCTGAAGCATATAATAATACTATACATTTTAATTACTACGTTCCTCGTCAAGCTACACACACACACACACATACACTCAAAATTATTAGTTACAAATTACAATGCATACAATTATGTGTTTAACTCATAAACCTAAGAGTTTAATGTACAATCGTAATGATATAAATTTTTTGCGCGGATAAAAAAAAATGCATCTTATAATATGTCTGTTTAAAACGATTTGAAGAACATTGATTCTAAAGTATAACATATATAATATAATACATACACATAAAATATAGTTTAAACCTTAACAAGTACTAAATTAGTGTTGGTGTCTTCAAAATGATATTTTCTAATGTCATCATATTGTATGTTAATATTTGTTTAAAGTCAAACCTGGAAGGCCAACCGGCAGACCAAGGTAAATACAACATTTTGTCGAAATCACATTACTTTTTTGTGGGTTATTCATTACTCGTAGTCATTAAATATAAACAAATACTCTATGGGGGATGATTTACGATTGTTTTTTTTTTTTTGTGACAGGCTTAGCTACCATCTTCCTGGCAAATTGCATTTGTATCTGTTATTTAAATGTGAGACTGAGAGGAAGTAAAAAATATTTAATAATTATCATTTATCACTATTATTAATATTAAATTTTTTGTTTTAACGAAAGATGTACGAGACGAAATATCATAATATAATATAGGTTATATTGTATAGTTTTTGATAACACGTTGAGCACATGCCATATATTTTGGAAACTAATTTGCGGAAATGTATTTTTGTTCTCCTTATAAAACCTAACAATTCACTAAAAAAAACTTTGGCTTATATTTTTGCAAACAAAAAAAATATATATTTAAAGAAATCATTAAAAAATACAATTAATAAATTATTTGTATATTACAACAAATTGTTTGAGTAAATGTTTAGACTATGCGACCGTTTACTTTGAACAGCGAAGGTCAATTCGATTAATTAAAATATACAAAACTCTATATTATAAAAAAAATTATATTGGTTATTGCATACATCGGGTTAGCTGTATTAAAATAGTGTTACCAAATTCCCTTCAATGGTCGTCTTAGTTGGAAATTTTTAAAAAAATTATTATAATATCATGGTTTTATTGATATTTCGTCACAAAACCATGGACATGTGTTTCAATAGGACCTTAACCCACAGAACTCTATTAATCAATATGCCGTCTGTTTTAACAAACTGAAATGATTTGCATTATTTTTGTGTTTATTTATAAAATATTATATATGTGCTTGTCCAGGACAAAAGAAGATTCGCCTTTTGCGCATGAGCTTTATTTCATTGTTTGATTATATAGGAGTAACACACAAAACAAATTTAATTAAAAACAACAACGACAGTACGACCGGTAAACGTCTTCTTTCATATAAATACATTGATTAATAATTTTTAATTGGAATTATGTCATAAACAATATTAATATGTTAATCTGGATGATTTTGACGTCGAAATTTCTCTTGGTGTCTCGTATTTCAGTTGCTTTACGCTAGATTTGTTTTAATTTTTGATGATTTATTAGAAAAATTACAAATGTGTCACTAACATTATTTTTACATTTACATTAAATAACAAAACAAAAGTTAATCTGATAGTCGTTTTGTGGGCAGAAACAACAAAAAATATTTAAAACTATATTAATCATTTATCTTATACATTTTCTATTATTTTTATAGCGCAGTTATAACAAATTATAACAACAATACCGTCATTAGTTATCGCATAATATTATGCAAATTAGCACTTGGGTTAGAAAAATAATAAAATTAAAAAAATATCGATACGGTTACAATACATATAACAAATTACACTCAAATTGACAATAAACACTATATATTATACGAGTATATATTTATATTGTGTATCGCCTGTGTAATAATTACAATAACACGCGAATTGAAACGTATATTATAATCTCAGAATGACTAAACATTAAACCAAGCAATTGTATATTAGTCTGTGGGGTTATTATATAATTAATATTGCGAGATCTTATAACAATGATCATTGTATATATGTATCATGATATATAAATTATTTGGTAATATAAAATTATAGCTTTTAAGTATTGCATTGTCTCCTACTATTGGGCATACGCAATAGCTTCTGATTTTTAGTATCAAAATTTAACTTCTAATTATACAACTCAAAAATAATCAAGTGACATATTTGTATAATATCAATAATAATTTTATAAACGGTTTTCAGTTTTTAAAAGAAACTAATTATCATAGTAGAATCATATATTATGTTGATTTTTAACTCGCAACTCGCAAGTACGACTGCTTTGTTGTACAGTTCCTTCATGGGACATCATTTACAAGTTTTTTTTAAGTTAAATTTGTAACTATTTAAAAATGTTGTGTTTTGTTCCTTTTTCACTTGCATTTCTAGAAAACTGCAACTACCGTTATACATTTGCGCGAATTAAATAAAAATAATTTATCACGCAATCGCCGCCAAATTAACACCTGTCAATAACTTAGTTATTGATATCGGAATACCCACAGATAATATAAGACGGCAACCGTCAAACGTTACTTTGTCATCTTTTGTCAGAATAAAAATTACTGTAGTGTACAAAATTGCAACTAATACAGCTAATACCATAAAAAAGAATGATTAATACAATTTTTAAATCAGACATCCTCGGGAGATAATGCGGATAAAAAAATTTTATTACCTAACGCGGGTGGCAACTAGTACAACATTTTGACGGCTACTTAAATATAGCAGGCCATCACTATGTACCGGATTGTGGTTCTGTAAATTTATTTTTTTCGTGCACTTGAAATCTCAACCAAAATTCATACTTTCCGAGTAGTCGACGACCAATTGATACGGTCATACGTATTCTGCCACTACCTTTAACTTCCAATATCGATAAAAGAAACATCAGTGTCAAAATTAAAAAATTAATATATTTTTTATTAAAAAAAAAATAATAATAAATAAGCAAATCCGTATATTGATGAATGACGGCTGCAATAAGGCAACAGCGTTGTAGTGATATGCACGGTTGCCAGTTTGACAGACATATTTCGTTGTTGGTTTTAATAGCTAAAAAGGCGACCGTCTAAAGAAAAAAAACATCTTCTTGCCCGAGTTCCAAACTTGTTTGGCCAGCTTTAGGTCGACGGTCATGGTCGTCTGCAATCTTCCAGATCGTGCTAATCAAAAACGCCGTCTGTGCCCATCTGACTAATGACAATATACAGTCGTTGAACGCAAAGATACTGCAGAAAATGTACGCAATTTACTTTGCATTTGATTCTCTTTATAAAATAAACGAGATTCTTTATTTTTTGTTTAATAATATGCGATATAATTAATGCCACACGAGCTAGCGTACAAGTCTTATAAAATACGTCTTATGTTTGAATTAATATAAAAAAAATAATTGATTTACATTTTAGATGATTAAGTCTTATTATTTACCGTTGGTAATTCATTTGTTTTTACTTAACAGACCGCAGAAATATAACCCGTTTGCCCATTAAACATAAATTGTAGCGCGACAATAAATTTAATATATTATACAATATTTCAATTCGAGTATTCAAGTAAACAATACGTTTTTGATTAAGTTATGACGTTTACTTAAATCGGGTTGAAAATAATTATTGCTCAATTCATTTTTCTTTTAAGTTCAAACGCTTTTGAGTGTTGTGATAAATATATTTACTAAATACATGTTTTCTATTTATGTATTAACAAAAAATATATTTAATTAATAATGACGTTTTAATTGTAAACATTAAAATTAATCACTTTATCCCAATGATTTAACCGACTAACGTTATTTTTATTGTTTTCTTTCAGTTATGTCCGGTGATGCGAACAATAATTTATTCCAAGGATTCGTCAACAACGGCACAAGTAAGTGTTTTTGATCGTTTAAATGTAATCGGTTAAATATAATTATTTTCAAAAACAATGACTAATGAGTAATAACTATTAGAATAATTACTGTTCGGACGTAACTACGATAGAAGGTAACCCGTTAGAATTTGGCCAACGCCTATTAGTAATTTTTCTCTTCAAACCCAATTCCTAAAAAAAATAAGTACCGAAAAAATAATAATAATAAGTAAAATGTGTGCAGTTTTCTAATATAATCATATGGTTTTGCGAACTTTGGCAAAAATGGCCCAGAAAATTTGTTATTCAACAAATAAAACGTCTATTGTCGACGATAATGGGCGCAGTAATAAAATGAAACGTCAAGAATAAGGAAAAGCATTGAAATTATATATTATTCTTGTAATTATTATTTTGCAATTTTTTTACTTTAATACATGGGGCGCGTAGCTGTATTTAATTTTTTACTGTGTAACATTCAGAATGAACAGAGTATCTATGTATAATAGATGTATCGTATTATAAAGCACTTCAGCTGTTAGATAGTCCTGTACTTTGGATCTAAAAAGACCAAAGGCAATTTTTGACAAACATGAATATTAGACTATTAAAATAAAACACACTTCCAGGTCAGAAGTTGAAAAGATTTATGAAGAATTTTGTGAAATATTTAATTAGCAACCTTTTATTGAAAACAAACAAATATATAGTATAAAGTTGCAGATTTATCAATAGTTACAAACAATGAGGTTGTTAGAAATCATGTTAAGACGCAAATAGGGGCGACACGCGTATCGTCTATATAATTCAAACGGACTATATTAGATTATTACCTATCAAATTATATGTAAATTAATCATTATTATAATTTATATAGGTGCGTACAAATAAGAGAACCGATCAACGTCAGTCGTTAATGGGCGTGGTAGGTCATCAGGGTTTCAGGTTCGCGGGCGTGACATGTTCGGGCCATTGCCGAGACATCTAGCATACGAATTTAAAAATGTATATACTTATATTATATACGTTTTTTTTTTTTGTGTACACTTTAATGGGGTTTGAAATATAATAAATTGCTAACGCATCCCGATAAGTACGTGCTCATATATGTGTATTGTGTAGTGCGGTTATATGGTTAAAAAGTCTCAAATCGCAATAATTAAATTTTGCCTTCTTTAACCGTATACCTAGGCCAATAGGCCTCAACTCATAGCATTACTCTGGGGATCTTGCAAAAGACGTGTGTTCTTCGAATCTAAAATATTGTAGCTGTTGACATTATGCCAATTGAGTTATCTGTTTCTGAGTTTTAAAAACGAGAAATAACGCGCATAGTCTTCACTTCTTTTTCCTCTTCTTCTTTTGGCTTCGTATGTTGCTTACAAACCGTTCAACTATTAATTATAAAATTTTAATATTATATTATTAACTACAAAACAGGTTTTCCGTTCCATGCCACTTCGCGGACTTCATATTCACACGAGTATTCGCAATTTGTACGTGCGTAGCATGTCTTAATAAAAACTTTTTTTTTTTTTTAAATCCCCACACACGCTCTGGTTTATGTATCGAGAAACACCTGTATGCATTGTGCTTAACTACAACGGTCGGTGGAATAGGGAAAGCCTTCAAAGGGTTAAGAACTAGACGTTGAAATGAAATTCTAAAAAGTGCCAAGTATTATATTCTTCTTCGACACATCCATCTAATGGGACTCGACCACTTTTCACTATTTTATTTTAATTACTTTTTTCGAAATGCCCAATTCATCTTAATTTATTAGGATTCATATTTACTGCTATTGGTGCCAGAAACCAAATTAGAAAAACAATATTTTCACTGATTTTTCAACGGCGGATTCGGAAATGAAAAACAAGCCCCATTTCCTCTTAACCCATAATGACGTCGTGTCCCTCGTCATACATCAACTCAAATCTATCAATCTACTAAAACAATACAAACGCATCAATTTTGATGGTCACGATCATAATATGTCAAGTATACATGTATGATGTACACTATGTCATTACCTAATATAAATGAGTCGATGAACGCAGAAGGTAAACAACCCAATAATATTTTATGTATATATTAATTGTTTACATAAATTTGTACCACTTGGTCTAGAAGTGCCAACCTTACTTTTTGTCGCATTTATTATGTGGTTTAAATTTCGGTTTTGTGAAAATCTGTCTTTTGGGGTATTACATTATTTTTTACTAGTTTTTAATTAAATCCGATTGGCATGGGTTGACGTTTTTGTTGATATGTCTAGGTACTTCCTACTACCAAGTGTTTTTCTAACGGTTTTGACCCGTCGCTAGTGATATTATGTTATTTTATATTATATTATGTTAACCCGGTTTCAGTTAAATTGCAGACAATATTCTATAATCGCCAGCAATGCGTGCATGTTACAATAGTAATCATAATAATAGATTTAATTTGTACCTTATTCCGGCGCTCGTGTATACAACACAAACAGCATACATGACTATGAGATTGTCAACGGCCGGTGACGCGAGTCAAAGAGAGAAGATAAAAATGTATTAAATTTCTCTCGCATACTTTCCATCGGTAGAATATAAATAACATAATGGATAATAATTATGGATAAAATTTCAAATGTTAAACTTGTGTTAGGTCATTTGGGTTTTAATTAAAAGGTGGTGTTTTTTTCTATTTATGAGCAATTGAAAGAGACAAATTATAAACAAATAAACACGCAGACATTTAATAAGTTATCAACAAACAACAACCAATTCACGTTAATATTATCGTATGATAATATAATATATTGATATTATATTATTTGGTATTATAATACACATATTAAGTTTTAACATAATCAATTACTATTATTGAGTTGTAATTAATTTATATCCTATCATTTGTAATGAAACATAGCAGTCCTTATTTTAAAAATGTTATATACTATAGCTTAAATGGTTATAAAGAAAAGAGGGAAAGGGGAGAAATGGCCACAGGTATCTCTCTCGTGCGCTGCCAAACTTGTTTGGTAAGCATTAGGTCGCCAGCCAGATGTAAACCTCAAAAATTGTCAAATTCAATAAACCGTCTAAGCCCCAATCGATAGGAAATAAACAAACGTTAAACGTGAAAATAGAAAAAAAAGATCTTGTGTGGTCGTAGGCAAGGCTGTATATTTTCATTGCTGACGTTTTTTTAACTTGTCGGATTTGGTAACCGCTTTATTAATTTTTTTATTTTTATTTGATAATATAACATTAACATAAAAAAGGTTGATATTACAAACGTATGTTTATAACATTTTATAAAACATTAAAACAAAGTTGTGTATCCTAAATTATTTAAAATTCTTATTATAATCACTTCTTTAGCTTTTTATCAAAAATTATTTCATCCAAATTTTAGCTTGACATACCTTCCTAACAGCTTATTCTTGTTATAAAACCGTCACGACAAAAATTGACGTAGCCATGACGACAAACCAAAAAAAATATTAAAATTTATTAAAATTTCCTAATAAATTACGCATTTTTCTGAGGAAATATAGAGTTGTATGTTGTTATACCTATGTAGTTGATATTATTAAAAATATGAACGCATTACGCATGTAAATTTAAATAATGCTAATTATTATCATAATATTTTTAATTATGCTTCGTAAATGAACTATTGGGATTTTCCAACACAGAATAAATCTATACTTATATTTATATTAATATATATATATTATATCCAAATCAATATTGATAAGTTTATCGTAGCTAAACAAATACGTTATTATAATTAAATGCTTATAACGCAAAATAAGATAACACAATGTAATACAAATTCTAATCTAGATATAAGCATCATTAAGTTTTAAATGGTTTCATTTGTAAATGCTCTATACTAAATAGTATGTTTATAGGTATTTGTATAAGGTAGGATGATAGTGATAAAATAAAAACAATTATTGCGTCAATGATATATTGGTAGAATCACCCGATTATGAATGAAATTCTCCATCGATTACTTGTTACTGCCCAGTACCTAGCAATAACGTATGTGCATGATATAAACTTATGACGATATGTTGATACTGTATCAGAAAATTTCCCAACACCAGTAAACATCACCATACCTAGTTTAGTAACTACGTAAATTAAATTATACCTACGGGTAAATTACATCATTGCCCTATGCTAATTGTTATTGGCAACTCTAAGTAGTATGTAAACATAACAGTATTTTTTTTTTAACGATTACTTATGAATAATAATATAGTAGAACACAACCGACAACTTAGACACAAAGTTTGTTCTCGATTATATTCAAACATAATCCAGAAACAAGAATAACTTCTCAGTTCTCGGTAATATAAATTATTATACAACAAATTGTTGTACAAATCAAATTACAAAAACATTCAAATTATTTTACTCTTAAAATACCAACGATTATAAATCAATTTATAAATCTGTAAAATCAAATACTATCATATCTATGTTACTCATTTATAATATGCAAAATGGAGTTTTATCTCCGTAAATAAAGACATTATTATTATTATTACCTAATTATTTTGTTCATTATTCAACATTTGAAAATATGTAGTTCAGTCTTTGGACCCATGTTAAATCGGATAGTATAACAATTAATTCTTAAAAATTTGTGTATCATATTCTTAGATTCTCACACTAAACACTGGTATTCGATAGATTCTTCTACTTCCTGTAATTTTCTAAATAGATTCTTTTGGTATTTTTAAGAACTTGCCAAATACCAATGGCCTATCGGCTCTATCGTAATTCGTATTAATTATAAACCGATTTATTTTATACGGCTATAACTTCCGGGGTAAAATTCCCCATTATATTCTCCAACTAGAAAAATATTTTAATTTTAAAATCAAATATATTTCCCAGAACCGGACAATAATTTTACTTTTTTAAAAAAAAGTTTTAATTCAATTTTTCATGGCCGATCATTTTCTTCGAAACCATCAGAACAAATAGATTTTATTCGTGTCGATTTCTTATCATGTACAT